CGCCACTGTCCTGTTGGTGTTGGCAGGGGGGAGGGCCCCCAGACTGCAATGCCATCCATTTGGACAGGGGAGAGTGTTGAAGCCGGGCGTGGAGGTGATGCGGTCAGTCGGGTAGAGGGGTGATTCGCTTGCATGTGTGTTGATGCAGAGATATGCAGATGGTGATAGGGGGTGCCGAGGTGGTCTGTTAACAAAGCTTCTTCCCCGCGCTGCTGTCTGAGGAGATGGGTGACATGTGTCCTCCTCCTCTGCTGCTGCTGTCGGGAGCTGGGGGCTCGGAGGGTGTGGGGGTGGATGCCTGTGTATTGAGTTTGGTGGGGTTTGGCGAGTGCATGCTTGGCCGTGCTTTGCTTGCTGTTCTTCTCCATTGTATTATGCTGTGCTTCTCTTTGCTTTATTCTTTGGCAGCCTTTGTTATGCTTTGTTGTGCTGTACTATGCTTTGCTGTTTTTTGCCGCAATTTGGCGTATGCTTTGCAGTGGCTTCTGTAGCATGCTTTGCTGTTGATTCAGCGTGCTGTGGGGGTGCTTTTATCCCCCATGCTTTGCGGTTCTTTGTCGTGCTTTCGCATGCTATGCGAAGCTTGCAGCGCTGCAGCTCAAGACTTGTGCCTCAGAATGGTGTGCATTGCCCGTCCTCGATTGTGCTTTTGTATTTTTTTTTTGTTTCTTTCGCACAGTTTGTGTTTTCTTTTTGGTTCTTGATCTTATGTTTGTTTAAAAAGTGTTGACGGGCTTTATAGAGACTGCCATTGCATGTGAACACGTAGATGGACGTCCTTAGCTGCGGACCATTCTACTGCGTTAGTCTTTTGCTGCCATCTCCCTTGCCCGGCGTAGATGATGACATCGATCGATGTCTGTGCTGGTCACAAAGAGAGAGAGAGAGAGAGAGAGAGAGAGAGAGAGAGAGAGAGAGAGAGAGAGAGAATAGAAAAAAAGAACTGTCGAGATCTATTGATCTGGATCGCATTTTATTTTATTTAGACAAGAAATCTGCTGATCAGCCTAAGGCGTTGTATTCTGTACACATCGATGGATGTCGATAGCTGCACATCATTCTGTAGCGTAACTCATGTGCTTCCATCTCCCTTTGCGACCTGGATGACATCGATGGATGTCTCTGGTAGTGGGGACAGGGGCCAGGAGAGGAAGGGAGAGGAAGGAGGCAGAGAGAGAGAGAGAGAGAGAGAGAGAGAGAGAGAGAGAGAGAGAGAGAGAGAGAGAGAGA